GTTTTAATTTTTTTTTTTTTTTTTTTTTGGTGCAAGTCTGCCACTTGGCATTCTGGCAATTTTCCTAACATTTTTTCAGTACATGTAGCATCTCTGCTTCACCAATCTTTGCTCAAAATTAATGGCAATTTTCCTAACATTTTTTTTCAGTACATGTAGCATCTCTGCTTCACCAATCTTTGCTCAAAATTAAGACTTCAAAAATGTTCAGATATGCATAGTGATGGCAACGGGTAGAGCCAAGCCTGGTCGGCTCGGTCCATGTAACCACAAACTCGAATCGTCCAAGAGACATGAGCTTGAGCTAGCTCGTCTTGGTCCATGTAACCGCAAACTCGGCTTGTCAAAGAGACATGAACTTGAGCTCGGCTCGTGCTCAAGGGCCGAGCCTGAGAGCTCGTGAGCTCATGAGCCGAGTCAAGCCCACAAGCTCAATGTTTGTTTTTTTGTTCGCGAGCTCGATGAGTCTAGCCCTACTTAGCTCGCCGTATGAGACACCGCTCAGCTCGTGTTCGAGCTCTTCTTGAAACGAGCTCGAGCCGTCCATGGCGAACATCGACGAGTTGAGCTGAGCCACTCGACCCTTTTGCACCTCTAGATATACATTGAAATAAAAGTTTTTGGTGACTTTCCAATATGCCCAATAATTTGATAGTTTATACTATAATAGATTGGCTTATAACACGGCCCAATGGCCTATACTTATTGTCGATAAACTATTCTTGATTATCGACAATTTTACCTATATTTGTGGACATGATAGATTGACTGAAATAATCAGTATATTTTATCAAATGATTTTTTCTTAATTTTCTTAACCGACATGTGGCTGATGATTAATTAATTCAGTTTCTTGAGCAATGCCAATGTTTAAATAAGCAGTGTTTTTTTTAAATGTTATTTCCTGATCTGGTAAGTCGGTGGAAGAACAAAATAAGTTAATATATGTGGTCATGACGCCTTTTCCATTAATGGGAATTTGACATTATACATACAAAAAATTCTTATCCACAAAACAATACTATTTGTGCATAGCTGAAATATGTATGGCTTGTGAGGGTTGCTTCCATTGTAGTTTAAATCATAAAACAAAAAGAAAATCAATAAAAAAAACTGTTAATTTATTCTATATTATGTGTTGAAAATTGGTATTTTAATAGAATTGGTAGACAATTTTGTTTTGTGGTTGGAAAATGGTTTCCTAAGCTGTCCTACTATAGATGGCTCTAGAATTAATCGATGGAATAAGAACCTACCACCTCTACAAATTATACAAATCTTTGATTTAATAATTCTTTTTTTTTTTTTTAAAAAAAGATGATGTAAGTTGGAAAACCCAAATGGGATCTATCAATTTTGAAGTATCTTTTGTGTTCACAAAGTTTATATAATATTAAATTTTGTATTTTCTCAATATTTTGAAGTGTCTCCCACTAATTTCATTATGTAATAGGAAAACTGGATTCACTCCAAATCATGTGATTTTTTTAAACATTAACATCGACTAACGATTATGTGTTCATGTCGCAAATCTTCACCATATATAAAGTCTAATGGTTAAACATTAGCATCGACTAACGTTAAATTGAAAATTTCTGAGTTGCACCCTAAACTTTATTTTCACTATTCATAAAAGAATAATGTTATCTAGTGGTTCTAGAATACCAGTCTAGATGACATTAAGTGATATGTTCAATAAAATGTAGAATTAAGATTATACATTTCATTAAATGACACATTAATGAATATAAACTGATGTTTAACTGTTGACATACAAAAAATGAAGCCCAATTAAAAAGTCCTAGAA